AAAATTAATTTAATTCATTTAGAATATGTAAGTAAGTTTTTACAATCGATTAAATTTTTTAATTTGATTCAAATTAATTTTTAAATATAATTAAAATTTAAATTGATTCATGATTAAATCGAATTGATCTATTAAAAATCTAATTATATTATTAGACTTAATTATTATATAAATTTATTCAATAATAATTTAATTTGGTCTTGAATATATATTATTAACTAGACCTCAAAATTTATCTAAAATTACAACTTTATTTTTCTATATGTTTAAAAATTTTTTATTTGTTTTTTTTTCATATCACTTATCTTTATTTTATTTTATTTATTTATTGTAAAAAATAATTTTAAAAATAGATTCAAAAATAGATCATAAAAGTTTCGTATTATCATTTTATAAGAAATAATGCTTATGGTTTTAAAAAATAGATTGTTAGTAGTTGATAAGAAATAAAATCTGGCATGAGGTGAATCTCTATCAGCATACAGCCGCTACTGCACTGATTGATGTTTTCTTTTGCTTGGTTTTCTTGAGTTATGATGTAACTGTTTCCATGTTCTCTTCTGGGCTATGGCTTGTGCCTTTCTTTGCCTTCATTACTTTTGCTTATAAAAAAAAAATTGGTTGCCTTCCATTTCACTTCTATTCGAGAGAATAACTATCACGTATCATATATCCTACCTCCATTTATATGATGATACATAAAAGAAAGCAGGGAAACCTTTACTTTTGCCATTTGTTCAGTCTCCTTGCTACGATAGTTGTCTATTAATTGAATTTGCCTTGTTCTTTCGGACACTGTCATGCCTCTTTCTAATCTAGCAGATAGCACCTGCTCTCGTAAGTCGAGACTTGGTGGAGAATGGAGACACTTACATGCTTCTGTATATAATTTGAAAAAAAGGAAGAAGTTTTTGAATGCTATTTCTAAAAATTAAACTCGTCAATGAATGAAATAAATATAATTTAACAACCAGATCAATCCATTAAGGTAAACGAGCATTAATATTTGCTGTGTGGAAAAATATGCACTGAATTATTCTTAAGTATGTTTGTTGATTTTTTTTCCATAATAAATATCCCAATTTGATGAGAAAAATATATAGGGCGTGAATTATGTTTTTTGTTGTTCAATATCATGGACAAATTTGATTTATTGGGTGTTAAACTTTCTGCTTGCATGTAATTTTTATTTTATTTTTTATTTTTTTATTTTAATATATTTTTATATCCATACTTTTAAATATAAATGATTTATGTAATATTTGGACCTCTTAAATAAAAATAAATTTGATGTTATCAAATTATTTTAAAATTAACCCTTAATTTTACCAAATATTCTTGTAGAAAACTTTTTCCTTATTAATTTTCATAATTGCCACTTGCGAAATGTCTAAGATTTTAGAAAATAAGGGAGCATTGCAGCAAATAAAACTTGTCCACATACGATTTGGCAATAAAAGCCAGAAATATATATATATTTTTTTTAAATTAGGAATCAAGGGCTTTCCATTCATGTGGCCCTCACTAGCATCTTTTGGACTGGGCTAGCTCTAGAAGTTCAAGAACCCTATTCATATAGTGACTGCGTGGAATGTGTGAGACCATTTTGTAATTTCGGTTTTGTTGGGCCCCTTTCTGTTTGATCAATGAATCGGAACTATTAGCTCAGGCCCCAGTTTTCAGATGTGCTGCATCGGCCACGAAACTAGAAATTCTGAAAGGATAAGTTGCTGCGGGTTTAACATTTAAATCGATGTTTTTGGGTCTACAGAGACGCATTAAGATCCATCAATTCAAAGCTTGAATTAGGGAGAGGTTTAATGAGAAGATGGTGAGCATGAAGAGTTTCAGATTCGCACTAGATTAGTGGCTCCTGAGCTGGAACAATTATTTTCTAGCATAGAAGAAGAAAAAAAAAAACTCCTGTGATGGTAGAAATTCAAAAAAAGCAAGAGTATTGAGTTGATTAGGTTTAATCCACACGGTTAATTTGACTATATAATAAAAAATAAAAAATAATTACAAATAAATCAAATCATCAGCAAGGAAGAGTCAAACCTTAGTCTTCTTGAAAGTACAGTAACTTTGTTTTTAAGTATTTTTTAAAAATTATCTGTTTAAAAAAACATTAAATTGATGTATTTTTAGTGTTTTTTAATGATTTTTTTATTAATAAAAATATAAAAAATTGTTTTAATAGATTTGAAAATAAAAAAAATATTAATTAATGTGGTTTTCGGATGTGATTGGTTCAGTCCCGCATGAACATGGCATTGTCATGGAAGAGAGAAAGAAAGAAAGAGAGTACCATCAAAATTTTGGTTCTTGACGCCTGTGATTGAGAAGTCAAAAAAACCCGAAATTAAGGCGTGTGGATTGCCGTCGAAAATGCAGTGGAAATTGCTTAGGTTAGCCACACCTCGCAGCTAGATTTCAGAGTTGCTAACGTGACCTGATCATCCATTTCCAGTGCAAAGAAATTTCATGGAAGCTGGCGAGTCTTTGCAGAGAATATATATGGTACCCTCCTTTCATCTGACCTTAACCATCACGTCACTTTCGATGAGAAAAACATGGACTTTCAAAGCTGCCGAAAATCGAGACATTCTAAGTTTCTAACATCAATTTACAGTCAACTTGGTTGTTTGTGTTTGTGTTTTGATGTGTTTTAAGAATGTATTTGGTGTAGAAAGTATTAAATTCGTGTATTTATTTATTTATTTATTTTTGTATTCTTTACGTGTTTATATAAAAAAAGACATTTTAATATATCTTCAAGCCATAAATATTTTTTTAAAATATTATGTTGTAGAAAGGTTTTTATTAGAACAATATTGCTATTTATGTTTTTCTTTTATTTTTGTTAGTATTAACCTTGTTTGTTTGGGTCATTCATTCAAGCAACAGTATTTTTCTAATTCAACTTTAAAAACTTGACGTGGATTAAACTCTAAGCTACAAGCTTTCCGAACCAGCTCGTGATGGAATCAAATTAGATTTAGCGAAGAATCCCAGCAATTACCCGCACTGGTAATAACTTCGATTTGCCAAAAATGGCAAATTACTCGTTTTCCATTCTTTCCCACTGTGGTCACAGGTTTCCTTTTCCGTCTTCCCATCAATAATTTAGCTTCCATTATAATTCTCGAGTCAATAGTCTTGGAACGTTCATGTTAATTCTTTATCTTAAAAGGCAAGTAAATAAATGATAAAGTCGTCAACTCAGTATTAACTCTCTCTCAGTTATAGTATTTGTCAATGGTATTTTCTTGGTAACTTGTTAGCACCAATCCAACAAAGATGTGAGATGTGAAAGTCAAGAATTTAACTGCAGACCAGCTTAATATATTTCTTGACAAAAAATTATATTATTTAGGGTTATGTTTTAATTTTTAAATTTGCACCAAACACGTCCTTGAAACTGAATCTTAAATTATTAATTAATTTGTTTTATTACGTCAATGTGTATGAATAATTAATTCTTGGGTGGTATCAATCAAAGATGTTTTAAAGAATGAAATTAAACATGTTTGGTACAATGCAATGTAACGGAGGCTTTCACGGAATTTTATTCCAGTTCTTAAAAGTTCTTTTTTCTTTTTTTATGTAGTCCCTATGTTAAAAATTATAAGTACTTCATTGAAAAATACAGTTTAATCCATACAAAAACCATACACACCTCTATGATACAAGGTGACTATTAAATAATATTTAAGGTATTAGTTTTCTCATTATATTTGCTATAATGTTGAAATAATATACCTTTAGGATACAATAAAGTTTTGAAACTTATAAATAATAATAATGTTTATAAGTTTTTTTTACTTTCAGGCCTATATATAAATAAAATTTAAGAACACATATCTTCGGGTGTGTGTATATATATATATATATAATTTTTCATCCAAATCTTCCGTATATATTATCAAAATCAATTGATTTGGTATATAACAAGACTTTATATCTTCCTAAATTGATATCCGGTGCATTCAACTTGTGATAATGTAGTGCTTATGTCCCATGACTCCATTAATTGAGTCACTATAAACTTTCTTATAAAATTGTATTATAAAATACAACAAAACCCCTTATTATTTTCAATTTCGTATCCTTCACAATTGACTTGTGATAGTGTAGTTATTATATCCTACAACTCTATTAATTGAGTCGTTGTAAACTCTTGTATATAATATAAATAAAAAGAGATCTTTTTAAGTATTTGGTTGTTGTGAGCTTGTTAAGTGTCGAAATAATTTTTATTTTCTAATTTAAAAAATATATATTAGAAAAAAAGTAATTAGTTAATTAAAATATAGTTATGAAACCCAATTTATCCTTGATACGTTAACTCTAGAAATTTTTAATTCAAAGCTTAATTCGAGTTAGAGCTCGGTTAACCAAAAAATTTAACTTTGTCGACTTTTCTAGTAACAAGAACAAATATGGTATGAGTTGACTAGGTCAACTCAAATGAATTTAAAAGTAAAACGAAACAACTTCGTGATGACATATACAATTGTTCGAAATTGATTCTAACGTAAGTTGTTTTGTGAAAGAGTTTTAAACCGTGTTTAACACTTACAAGCCAAAACCTGACGATATGGGTCCTCGACGATGGGTCCCGAGGAAGCGAAAAGTACGAGAAACAACCTTAATAATAATAATAATAATATTAAAGGTACACACGAGAGGACAGAAGAATTTGTATTTTGTCCCCCCACCCAAAACGACAGGTGAAAGGAAAGGACCAGCATGGCTCATCAGCTTTGCTTACCCTGCATGAATTCTTACCAAAAACGCATGCAAAAGAGGCTCCCGCTTGCAGTCTCACTCTCCATCTATAACTCTATTTCCATTTTACACAAACTCTATTAAAGCTAATACAATCTCTCCTTCACACCCTTCTTCTCCGAACTTAATTGCCGATTTTCTCTCCTTTAAATCCCCCAGCCCCTTTATAATATCTCCCAAAACCCTTGAGAATTTCAGTATAACCCCCCCATAAGGCCATAACCCTCCCGCACCCCACCCTTCTCTCATTTTTTTCCCTGAAATATGGACCGTCACCACCAACAACAGCGCCTCAGATTTCTTGCTGGAACGGGGCCTTTTTCCTCAGAGACTCCCAATTCCCGTTCGACGGATCAAAGCCGTGTGAGCCCTGAAACTTCTACACACAACCCTTTCCCTCTGGAATCTTTATTTTCAAGACTCGATGTATCTAATGGTACCCAAGATTTATATCCACCTTCTAATAGCAAAATATCTGATGGGTCTGTTGTGAATTTGAACTCTTTTGATGGTTTTGCCCTTGGTGGCGTTTACCAGGCTGGTTTCTCGACAACGCAAAACAATGATATAGATACTTTTGTGGCCACGAGGATTCAAGATTTTCTTCGTAATCCAATCATAGCCGGGTCTAATTCTGATTTGAGGACTAACAGTTCTGTTTATTGCGGCGCGTATCAAAATCCAGACTTTAACGACTGGAGAGGATTAGTGCAAAGAGAATCGCATTATAGGTCGATCAACAATGGTTTGGTGTCTAAAAACCAGAATTCTTTGATCAGGAAGCCACTTAGGTTACAAGATTACTTGTCCTGGGAAGATTTGAGTGGTAAGGTCGTGGCATTGGCTAAGGATCCGTACGGATGTAAATTCTTGCAAGAACTCATTGAGAGTGCAACAAGAGAACAAATTGATATGTTGTTTTACGAGGTCATAGGCTATGTGGGTGGGTTGATAGTGGACCCATTTGGGAATTATGTTGTACAAAAGCTTGTAGAGGTGCTTAGCGAGGAACAGAGGACTGGGATTTTGCGAATGTTAACTCGGACTGATTTTCAACTTGTGAGGATTTGTCTTGATGTGCATGGGTATGTACTGTTACCCTACTCATTTCTACTTGTTTCCTTTTGCTTTATTAACTGTTGAATTGATTTATTTTTTCTTCTGGCAACAGAACTCGGGCTGTACAAAAGTTGTTGAATTGTATCACGAACCCACAGCAAGTTTCTATAGTTGTATCAGCTCTAAGCCTAGGTGCTGTTACATTAATTACGGATTCCAATGGTCATCATGTGATCCAGCATTTTGTCCAGCATTTTTCCACTGAAGACAATAAGGTGATCTTTCTATTCATTGACCCCCCAAAAAGCTAAATTCTCAATAAAGTTTGTTGTAATCCTGTGTTCTTTTCTGGAGTGTAATCATGTGTTCTCATTTCTTTCGACATGCTGCTATTAGTATTGCTAGATGATTTGCTTCATCACTTCGCTTCAATATGGTGATTATTGTAGTTGTTTTAACATTTTGTCTGTCAAATTATTTTCTTAGTGGATCAAGTTCTTTTATATCCTTATTTCAATCTAATTAATTCAACTTTTTTGTCTGTTAATTTCGACTTAATTGATACTTAGTGGGTGACAACATTTCGACTTAATTGATACTTAGTGGGTGATAACTATATATATATATTCTAGTTTTTGCCATCTACCTGAACATTCTTCGAGGTACAATCATTACTGCAACATTCTTATTTCTGTATATGCATCTATGCTATCGCCTAGAATCCTGAATCTTTAACAGTTTCTACTGGATTCTTTTATCTTTTAGGGGAGAGGAAAAGGGCTGCATTCTTTTCTCCCACTCTATAACTTAGCCACTTTTCTTGATGAAGAATTATTGGCTACTTCTCTGTTGGTTTTCGCCTTCCATGGCTTTGGCTTTTGTTGGGTTCCCTTTGGATAGGTTTAGTACACGTACATGCTACGCTTGCATTTGATTCAGCTGGCTGGGATCTATGATGGCTTTACGGCTTCTGTTCTGATTGTTTCTGATTTTTTGTGCACTTATTTTTTTATCTTCATCATCGCATAAGGGTTTCGAATGAATTTATTTATTTGCTTATTCCGTGCTCTCTTCATTCCTTGGAATATCGGACTCCAAACGTGTTATCAGTCCAATGGTTTGTTTTGGGCTTGCATCTTTGTGACTTTGCAAGGCTCCTCCTTTCTACAGGCACCTACTTAGGATCAATGTGAAACTTTTTTCTCTGCCTAACCATTGGTGTGCAGTTTGAGGGGAGAAAACTTGCGAACTCCAACAAGCTTGCGAAAACTTTTAGTATTTTAAAGGCTTCAATGATGGAAATATCTCTTGATCTTGCTGCAGTTTTATTCGCAGCTTTCTAAAATATTTCGACTTGAATCAGCAATGTTTCATATATACCATAGGCTATTCTACGTCTGTTGCCTGATGTTTATCTTTCTTACTTGCTTACATTCTATTCATTCTTTTCCTCACTTGTTTCTGTCTACCTCTTTCTTTTACAAGGCATTCTATCTCAATTTACTTGCATATCATGTGAAATAGGGAGATATTGGCATTTCATCACCATAACTGCTTTGATATATAAATCCTCTTTCCTGATGCACTTGTTATCTTCAACAAGTTCGGATGTGATGTTATTCTGCAATAAAAGTATTGCTTGAAACCGAATCATATTCTTGCGTCATGAGTACCTGATGGTGGATTATTTTTCCAGTATATTCTGAAACAGGTGGCAGAGAACTGCTTTGGGATTGCAACCAACAAGAGCGGATGCTGTGTGCTGCAGCGATGTGTAGAATATTCTGAGGGAGAAGCCAGAGATCGACTGTTGGCTGAGATAATAGCAAACGCACTACTCCTGGCAGAAGATCATTATGGGTTTGTTTTACTAAACCTCATCAATGCTTTACGCTTTTATGCGAGTGTAACCAACTTAATACCATGATATTTTTCTGAGACCATAATAATCCCAACTTCATATGCGAGTGTAATATTAACTTCTTATGGTTCTTCTAATTTTCCATGATTTCCTGTAGAAACTATGTAGTGCAACATATTCTGAAATTGAAGTTGCCGGAAATCACAGAAAATCTTCTAGCACAGTTTAAAGGGAGTTACATGGCTCTTTCATGTAATAAGTATGGAAGCAACGTCGTGGAAAGCTGCCTATTGACAACGAGAGAGGAACAATCCACACAAATTATCTTGGAGTTGCTAAGCAATCCACTTGCTTCTTAATAATTCATGTTAAAATATAAAAATAAACAAAAAAACATAATAATTCATGTTAAAATATAAAAATAAATAAAAAAACATGTCCTTGTGGATCCTTTCGGAAACTTTGTTATTCAGAAGGCACTATCAGTATCTCAGGTTAGATCATTTGCACTCCAAGATATACATTTACATGTTTGTTAGGTAACTGCAAACCATGTAATGCACTGATAGCCAGCATCACTTTATTCTTAAATATATCTAACTGTTATTACCAGTATCAAGTTGTTTCTATGTGCCTTTCCTGTTCTTTAATTAATCTTTACAGTGCCACTGACATGATCGGCAATCTGGACTTCACAAACTCAAACCTCTTGAATTGGTCTGAATATGTTTTAATGAATTCTCGACATTAGAGGCGTATGTTTCCGCTAGGAATTGAGTCCTTCGCATCTTTACGGTTCTTTGTTTAGTGGGATGGACTACTGAACTTAAAATCGGTCTCTTCCTCCTGAGATGATGATTTTGGACTTGCATTTCTTGAATTTCCACTTTCTCAAAAACATTGCTAGTTAATAGGCAGGCATACACCAAGCTTGCCAGTGAGTATCTCTGCCAAATAAGTGTGTTACCAACTTCATGCATGGCTTGTATAGGTTTTTAGTAATTTTCTAGTATCGTCCCAAGTGTAGTTTAATCCCAAAGATGATGTCCTCAAACATGCTTTGATCATTTGTTGCCGTTTTTTTTTTTTTTGCAAGAGCAGGGACAAGTCCAAAGATATTTAGTAGCTCTAATACAAAGGAACGCCCAAAAGATGCGCAGCAATATCTATGGGCAAAAGGTGCTTGTTTGGTTGAACAAGAACATGAGGCCGCTACAACTGTAGGCATGTGTAAACTGAGGGAGTTGTTCTAACCAAAATTTTCCTACAGATCAGGGTACCGGGCCTTTTTTTTTCGAGTTTTACCCCATTGTTACTGTTGTTCAGTTGTGCTCGTAACTGACCTCGTACGTCGTCATGGTGAATGGCTGTGCGAGTGTCTGTTGTTTGTTGTTGTTGTTGTTTAGGTGTCATCTGTTTTCTGGTACTTACTGTTGTAGCATTAGAACGAAGGAATTTGGAAGTTGTGGCGACTCTGTAACTGAGTAGGAACTAGCTAGCTTGAATTACCGGCAGCAATCTCCAAGAAATTAGAAGGTTAAACTGTATATTTTGTGATTGTCCCGCCGTTTTACTACTTCATTTTTAGAGTCTGTTTGTTACTGCAGAAGTTCCAGTAGATGTAGTTTTTTCAGGTTTTAAAAACAGTTTAATTAAAGTTTTAATAAAGAAATTAAGTGATGTTGATTAACTACTTTCAATTAAGATAAAACGCAGTTTCATCTGCAACTCAGCACGGCCCAGAACCCAGCAAGCCTTTCTACAATTCTACATGATCTATTCCTCTAGAACTCTCTAAGGAGCTACTAGAGGAACCCTTCACTAGCAACTCCCTGATAAAAGGAGCTAGAGTGGAGCAAAATACAAAATCCTATTTTAACTCCATGAAATATTGGCCTTCCTGTAGACATGGCAGACACAGACTCCAATTATTGAGTGTTTGGATTTGCTTCGCCAATATTGCGATGAGAACCCATCAACTCTTTATTCCCAGACACAAAATTAGTGATAGCACAACTCGAAAGCTAGCCTTTTTAACGAGGCAAACAAGCATGATTACAATTGAACCAACCTCGAGGTGACCACTGACAAGGGAAGAGTAAAAGCAAACGTGTCATATGATGGATTGGCAGTAAGTTTGGTAATTTGAACTTCAGGCAATTATAGACGATATAAATTCATATAAAAAATTAATTTTAGGCAATTGTTTTTAAAAAATTACAAAACATGGTTTTTATTCTAAAAATAAACGGGTCTTCAATTTAGTTTGGACATGAAATCTTTTGATTATACTAATTGTTTAGTTCAAGTTTTAAATTAATCTCTATAAAAATTATTTTAATTTAATTTAATAACTTAATGGATTAAAAAAACTTAAATGGCTAGTAATTATATTGTTTAATTTTAAAAATATTTTTAAAATAATATTTTTTTTTAAAAATAATAATATGACAATACATTTAATTAATTTGGATTAATTTAAGTTAATCCACTAAATTTGCAACCTAGATGATGAATTTTATTCCGTTTAATAATTTTTTTTTTAAATCATGTTTAAAAAAATAAATGTGTGTAAAATTGATCACCAACTTAATACCATGATATTTTTCTGAAACCATAATAACCCCTGTAAATAAATTATAAAATTTAATTTTTAATAATTATGTTTTTTAAATTATTTTTTATTTTATAGTATAAAAAATAGATGTTTATAAAATTAAGCACCGATATAATACCAATATATTTTAAAAAATCATGAGAAACATGTATATAATAAAAAAGAAATAAATGATAAATTTTAAATTTTAATAATTCATGTTAAAATATAAAAATAAATAAAAAAACATGTTGTTGAATAATAACATGTGAGGAGAAGAATGGTGATTTCCCTGCTTGATTAGTTATTGTTAATATATAAAAATACAAATATAAAAATAAATATTAATTCAAATAACTTTAAAATAAATTTCTATAAAAAAATGAAAAATATTCTCAATATCTTCATCTCTTCTAAATATTCTCGAGATATTTGAATAGAAAATATTGAAATAACTTTATAAATATAAGAATAACTATTAGTTATTGGTGATCGTATTAATTGTATGCTTCGTCTAGCTGTAGTAATTATGGATGGTTGTCGTTTTATTTCTCCGAGTTTTACAGACGTACGATTAGCCTATCTTTAACTACGATTAGCCTAAATTGGTCAGCTGTGAGGTGTGGGTAGTTAATTGGTTCGTTACATTTCAATTAAATAAATCAATATAATTATTGGAAAAGAGTCTAAGCAATTTCTTCGAAAAATTTAAGATTTAAAATTTAACATGTACAAGCTAGACAACAAGATATTAATTTAGAAAAACCCAATTAGGTTTTAAAATCTAGCCTAAATAAAATTTTAAATGGAACAAAAATATCAATTCGATCAAATTAAATTTTTAATAACTTTATGAATTTTAATCCAAACCCAAATAAATTTATTTTTTAAATAATTAATCTAACAATTCCATTTTTTTTAGTTGATGGTGTATTCCGTAATGTGATAAGTAATTTTTTAAAATATTTTTAATAAAAATATATTAAAATAATATTTTTAATTTTTGATCCCTATATATCAAAATCATAAAAAATTTATATCAAAAATATTAATTTAATATTTTTTTATAAATTGTAAAAACAAACAAACCTTTAACCTTTAAGCATTCAAAATAACTTTTTATTTAAACATATACTAGGATGATTTTTTTTCAAATTTTGTATATTTATTATGAGCATATAAAACTATAAAATACTAAAAAAATATAAACTTAATATTTCTCCACAGCAAACACCCATAAAAATAATCTCGAAGCGGTCTGACATAGCTTTCCATTTCTTTGGCGAGAGAGGAGAGGAGAGGACTAGTGTGTATTGCTTGTATTGTATCTCTGCTCTCTCCCTCTTCCCCACCCCCGTTGACCATAATGGCTAACTCCTCCTCCTCCTCCTCCCTCGTAATCTCTTACTCCTTAATTTTATTAAATCTCTACGCCATCGTTTCTTCAACTTCTGATTTCAACAATCGCCACCATCCCATGATACTTCCTCTCCTCCTCTCAACTCCTAACATCTCTGCTCACCGGATGCCCTTCGACGGCCACAAAAGCCGGCGCCATCTCCAGAATTCCGAGCTCCCTAACGCTCGCATGCGCCTCTTCGACGATCTCCTCTCTAACGGGTATACACACTATATTTTATTTTTTGCTTTTGTTTCTTGTGTATTGTTGTACAATTGAATTTCGTCGTTGATGAATTTTTTTTTGCAGTTATTATACAACGCGGCTGTTTATTGGGACGCCTCCACAGGAATTTGCTCTTATTGTGGATACAGGAAGTACTGTGACATATGTTCCGTGCTCTAGCTGTGAACAATGCGGCAAGCATCAGGTTTGGCTTTGTTTTCCTGCTTTTCTAAGGTTCTGCTGTATCTCCACTTCATCCTGTACTTGTTGACCGTATCTTTTGTTAGTGTACAGTTCATCGGTTTACATGTTGATTAATTGTTGCAATGTTTTTACTTTTTAAACGAAAGGATTTTTTTTAAAAAAAAATGCTTAATTTGAAATGGGGGTTTGGATTTTTAAAACTAAATCGAACGTGGTGGTTTGAGAGCTGTTTTGTTTGCTGGTTTTATATAGGATCCGAGGTTTCAACCGGATTTGTCTAGTACTTATCGGTCTGTAAAGTGCAACCCAAGTTGTAATTGTGATGATGAGGGAAAGCAGTGTACTTATGAGAGACGCTATGCAGAGATGAGCTCGAGCAGTGGTGTGATTGCTGAGGATGTTGTTTCATTTGGAAATGAAAGTGAGCTTAAACCTCAACGTGCTGTTTTCGGTTGTGAAAATGTGGAAACTGGTGATCTTTACAGCCAACGTGCTGATGGGATAATGGGTTTGGGTCGTGGTCGGCTCAGTGTTGTTGATCAACTTGTTGACAAGGGTGTTATTGGTGATTCGTTTTCGTTGTGTTATGGTGGGATGGATGTGGGTGGGGGTGCGATGGTACTTGGTCAGATTTCTCACCCCCCCAACATGATTTTTTCCCATTCCAACCCTTATCGCAGGTAGGATACTTTATGAACATGGTTATCGTTGATTAATTTTCCTGGTATTCATCTTAGTACATCTCACACATTTAATGTAGTTTTTGGATGATGACAGTCCATATTACAATATTGAGCTGAAAGAACTTCATGTAGCTGGGAAGCCATTGAAATTAAAACCAAAAGTCTTTGATGAAAAGCATGGAACAGTTTTGGACAGTGGAACTACTTACGCTTACTTTCCAGAAGCAGCTTTTCATGCGTTAAAAGATGCTGTAAGATATCATGGCTCTAATTTCAATCTCCTCTACCATGGTTGGTCTAAAAGTCGAGTTGTAGCTCTGCTGTGACTGTTTTATTGTTCTTCTTTCTGCTCACCAACTGTTTTTCAATTATAACTATCAGTGTCGCTGTTTATCATACCAAATGAAGTTTCACCTGAAAATTTATTGTGCTGTTTAGTTGAATTTGCGAATAAACCATTATATAATGGTATTTTTTAAGCCTAATCACACGAATAATTACTCAAATCGTCACTCATCATGTTGTGGGTCTGCTCCTGGAATACCAATGCTCTCCATGCTTAATTTTGCTTCTATGTGAACTTATGATTAAGTCTTGCATTAACCAAGTAAGAACTTTTTATCCTATGTGGCTATCTCATAGTCAAACATCAAAGCATCCATATTCTACAGCCTTACTGTAGGTTAGGTGAAATATTCTTTTGAATGCTAGTGAGGTTATTTTATCAATTCCTTTCTAGTTAGGAGAGGGTTTACCTTGTTAACTAGATTTGGAATCCATGTTTAATATTCTCCATACTCAACTTTAGCTGTGTACTTATTTTGTTACTTCCTTGCAATTGCCAATTGATTTTATAGCAAATACCATATATTAAGTATACAGAGGATAAGGTTAACAATTTGGATGATGCATCTCAATTTTGAGAATTAATCTCCATCCAATAAGATTGGGTTTTTGATGGAATTGCTTGGCTCTATCTAGGTTAATTGCGGCCGATTGCAGAAGTTGTCTATTAAGTGTGAGATTATGTTTGAGTTTGGTGCTAAATCTCAACTTCTTTCGGCTTAATTTCTTTACTGTTTATTCCCATAACCTGTTTCCTGTAGTTCTTATATCTTGTGCTTTGATTTGAAAAAAAACCACCTTGCTACTGTTTGGTATAAAGATTGGTTTCATTATTTTCAGCTATGGGAAAATATATTGTTAAACTGGACTGTTATTTCAAGGTTAACTTTGTACTGAAATGCAGATTATGAAGGAAATCCATCATCTCAAGCAGATCCCAGGCCCTGATCCAAATTACCATGATATTTGCTTTTCTGGTGCTGGAAGGTGTTACCTATAATAAGAACACAATTTTGATGTCTAGCATCATTTTCTTTATAACTTGTCCTGGCTGTAAGATCTTTTGAGTGCTTATTTTATTCTTTGTTCGTTTCTTTTGGTTGAATTGTGATTTAGGGAGGTCTCTCATCTGTCAAAAGTTTTTCCAGAAGTCAATATGGTGTTTGGCAGTGGTCAAAAGCTGTCACTGTCTCCAGAGAATTATCTCTTCCGGGTAATTTTGGCTTTTGTTATTCTTCTTAAATTTCTTCTTGAGAACAAAAATAAGCTTGGGATTCTAGCAAAATTACTTCAGTATGGTTCAGGATGTCTCCTTCTGTTTCTTTTCTTATTTTCCTGCATCATCTGCTCTATTGTGGTTTCAATTTATTTCTTTTATTTACACAGCAATATTTGTCTTCTCCCTCCTTTCCTGTCTCTCTCTCTCTATCCTCTCTTATTTCTGTCTCTCCTTCCTTGTCTCATGGCATGAGCTACAGCACACAAAGGTCAGCGGTGCATATTGCCTGGGTATTTTCCAGAATGGAAATGATCAGACTACTCTTTTAGGAGGTATAATACATCTTCTAGCGTGCATGTCTGAAATTGAAAGTTTTTAGAGTTGAATTCAATAGTTGACGATCTATAATATGCAGATACACTTGACAGATCTCTCTTACCTTTTATCATTTGTGGCAGGAATTGTTGTCCGTAACACACTAGTGACTTATGATCGAGAGAATGATAAAATTGGCTTCTGGAAAACTAACTGTTCTGAACTATGGAAGAGGTTGCAAGTTCCTGGTGTGCCTGCTTCAGCACCTGTACCTCCCCCTAGCAGTAATAGAAGTCAAGAAATGCCTCCTGTGCAAGCTCCAAGCAGCGTGCCATTTTTCCATCCAGGTACTTTGATTTAATCATTTACACGGCCTCATGTTAAGCATGCATCATAAAATAGGAGTGCAAATTTGATTTGGATTTTTGATAATTTTCTATGGTTTGCAAATTTAGCTTCTAAAGAGCTTGGCTTACATGTAAGCTGTTTATTCATGACAAAGTTGTGATTTTTTTCATTCATGATTTGGGTTTTATATAAGATTTCTTGAGTGCTTGATTTGATGGTTCATAAATTGGTTTGCTTTTGCAAGCTTTGGAAATTGGTGTAGAATAAATAGGAACAACTTGGGTTCTTGACTGCTTAATTTTGTGGGGGTGCTTAAGCTGAACAATGATGGTGGGATGGGATTTGGGCTTTTTTGAGATGCTAATGAATTGAACAAAAATGAGAACTGGGATAGGATTTTTAAGTAGAAGAATCTCAAAAATACTCGAGGGCCTCATAAAACAATTTGATTGGAATGGAATGTATAAGTATAATGGTGTAGCTTCAAAGGTGTCTTGTGTGACAGTAGAAAAATAGATTGCAGCAGCTTAGTGATTTTGCATCAGTGGTTGGCTGTTGCGCGCACAAGTGTGGAAAATTGAGGTTTATTTTGTGCTGGATTTCCTTTACATTTTTTTCTAACATCAATCTTTAATGTAATAAAATAAATTTATTTCAAGATTTTTATTTGGAATATCTTATAATTTTTTTTATATATATAATTTATGCATATCACAATCATAACAATCGTACATGTGGCATGATCAATACCACTCATTTGAGTCAACTAACATTGTTAATCAAACATCTATTCTATCACTAATGGAGATGGATGGAAGACTTGAAACCCACTAAAATTGCTAGTAAAAGGGTTGTTACGGACCAAAATGTTGCGGAGCACCAAAAAATAAATGTAGAGGGGCACCCAGTGATTTTAAGCCAGTTATTGACTTTTATTGTTTTCATTTGTTTGATGCTTACTTTCAGGTGCCCTAAATATGTAATTGATATGGTTATGATGATCATCCTTTTCTAACTTCTGCTCATAACATTCTTTTGGTGCATGTTTCTACTATAAAATCTCTCCAATGATGTTGCGTTGTTCCATGTGATATTTAGGTGAAATTCGAATTGGAATTATAACATTTGATATGTTGATCAGTGTCAACAACTCAAACACAAAGCCTAACTTCACAGAAGTGGCAGAGCTCATTGCCCATGAGTTTGAAGTTGATAATTTACAGGTACAATTGAGTTACTTTGGCTTGACATGACTTTCTCTAAACCTTGCTGCAGAGCAACAGGTTTTTAACCTGATGCATTGGGTTTATAGCTCATGAATTGTCACCATTCAAATTAATCTAATGTAGCAGATCAACGTAGTTAATAACATTTGGTGCATTCAATTTGTTGACATCAACAATATCTCAAATATTGTTCAACATTAGCTGATTGAGATTAAGCATAAATTTAATTTGATACTCTTGCAATTGCTTGATTTTCAGGTGCACATGTTGAATTTCACATCGACAGGAAATAATTATCTTGTTAAATGGGCCGTTCTTCCTGCTGAATCTGCTGATTACATTTCCAATACCACAGCAATGGTAATCATACCATTGTGTTGTAGTTGTTGCATATGCAACTGGCTACCTTTTCACTTGCTAACTGAAGTATCATAGCTAATACTTGTTTCTTGTGTGCAGAAAATAATTCAGCAATTAAGTGAGCATCGATTACACTTTCCTGAGAGACTCGGAAGCTATGAGTTAGTCAAATGGAAGTTTGAGCCTCAAAAGAACAGGTATGTGTTTTCTTCCCCTCTCCGAACTCCATTGCCAAACTTGATATTTGCTTCCGATTTCACATTTCTTTGACTATCTCAAAACAGTGCTGTGTACTTCCGATTTCACATTTCTTTGATTATCTCAAAACAGTGCTGTGTATTGTGTTTTCCTTGGTTCTTGAGTTTGCCCATGTTTTGTTTTTAGCTGTTATACTAGGATATCTGCCTTCTTCCAAACAGTGATGCATTTTGCTGCTTTCACATTTGATTCTTTCGGTGTGCTGTAGGACATGGTGGCAGCAACATTTTGTGGCCGTGACTGTTGGAGTTGTTGTTACCCTAGTCTTTAGTTTATTAAGTATTGGCCTATGGTTGGTCTGGAGACGTCAAAAAACGCTTGGAACGTATGCGCCTGTTGGAGCTGTTGGTCCTGAGCAAGAACTTCAGCCTTTGTGATCTTCAGTTTTTGTTGACTGCACGAGGATGATAATAAACATCTTCAATACTTAATCAATCACAGTGACAAATATGCGGTGATGAAGTTTGATTCCACCCTCCTGCTGTACATTGAATAGAATTGAAAGGGGAAATATATAGAAGGGTAATCAGAAGCTTTTTCCCCCCTTTTTCTTAATAGAGACTGGACTCTTATTGTTTAGAATGTCATATGCTTATACGTTCATAGGTGTACACAACGGGGTTAATTGTTGAGACATTGACTGGATAAAGATAAAGGCAAAATTGAGTTCTGTTTTTCCTTTTAAGGCATCGATGCTTACTTCTGGGCTCCTGCCCTAGTCTCGTCGGTTCTAGTGTTTACTATGACAATATGCGAGAGTGCAATCCCCCCAAATCACAACGGCCTTGAACTCAAATAATTGGAGAGACTGATCCATGAAAGATTCCTTGTCAAGGTTACCGGTAAATTTAGGGTTATTATTTTTTAATTTTTAATGTTGATCTAAGCAGGTTTGACGGTTCAATTGAGTTAAAAAATCAACTAAGTCTTGCCAGGTCTTACTAGGTTAGTATTTGATTTTGGATCCCGAGGTTAATCCGGTTCGGTTTAACGGCTTGACACAATAGCGCCAGCCCAAACCTAAACAGAAACTGAGAATTCAACCTCACCCACCAAGGGGAATGCGGTTGCAGTTACCCGGACAGCCTTCGGCATGGAGCAGCTACCTTGTTGAGTAATATCGCGGCCTGCGGAAAGCTGCTTTTGGCATGGAGCAGCAGGCAAGCAACCTGATGCTGGGTCCAGTCTGCATTAAGGACACGTCTTCATATTTTCATCCATCGTCTAAGCTTTCTTGAGTTTTCTTTTTCTTTTTTTAACAGTAGTGAAATTACGTTAATCGTTAACGAGCCTCCAGTAGAATGTAAAAACCTAATACAGTAAATTACGCATAAAGAAATGATCAAATTCTTGAAAATATTAACTGCAGTTTAAACTCGTTTGAAACTGTGTTTTGTTTTCAAGAACTTGAAGTTTTATAATTTGTTTAAAATTATTATTTTTTTATATTTTTTTCACGTAGCTGATATATATCTTTTTTGTTTCTAGCATGTGACATTTCGATATATATGCTACTAAGTTTCCAATTCCTCTCCTTTGAATTGCTCTGTGATTGCTTATTTTTCAACTGCCATGGAAGTTTCTTACATGCAAAACATGTTGTCTGACTGAAATATAAATTTATTAACATGATATTAGAATAGTGTACAAAATCATTTGTGTGCAAGGTCGTTGTGCATCTATTAATGTTTTTTAAAAATATTTTTAAATTAAATAAATATTATTATTTCTTTCAATAATTTGTTTTTGAGGATGTTAAAAGTTAAAAATAAAATATTAAATCTAAAAATCTTATTACAGAACGTTAACAATCATGCATCATCTAAGCACATATAAAATGTTTTTAAATTTATATATATATTTTAAATAACTTTTTACATGAATATTAAAAAAAAATTATGCAATATTATAAAGGCACAATTAGTCATAAAATATAACAAAGGACAAGGCAGTTTACATATTAGAGGAGGTTTGGCAATAGATTAGGATCTAAATTTGTTTCTGTTTTTTTTTTCCTCCTTAATAGGACAAATAGAAATATTCTCTTGCTTTTCAGGAGGTCAAGTAGGCCTTTGGCTATCTGCAGCCGTTAGTATCAGACACAGGTGGCATAAATCAGGAGGCTATGATAATGAAACGGGGACCTTTCATGCCCAAAGTGTCTGTTATATCGTACACTTCACATGATTCTGCCGCGTAAAAAGTTAAGTCAACCTTGAATTCTTGATATCATAGTTATAATATCCTATCTGAATAATACCAAGGTTACGGGTTAGAAGTATCTACTTAAATTAACTTGAATTTTTTTAAAATTTTTAAATAATGTTATTTTAAAAAAAATAGCATCAAGTTCAAATTAATTAAGTTAAAATATTTTTTTGAAGCCAGTTAATTTTTAATTTTTAATTTTTTTCAATTTAAATTCATTCAAATTCTAAATTAATCAAGTTTTGAGTAGATGTAAAGTTATAAAACAATATTTCAAAGGACATCATTGCTATTAAACACTCGTAATTGTCTAATATGTTTAACAAATCTATAATCATTATAACTTGATTTGAATTGAGTTTTAAGTTAAAATTAAAAAAAGATATTAATTTAGTAATATAGTTTTCATTCTAACTCAATGTTATGAATTGCCAATGCAATCACGTCCCTTCATTTTGTGAGTGCAGTGGATTGTTTTTAGAATACTGGAAATTAATAGATTAGATAGAAAAAGAGAAATGCAATTTTTTTTTATTAATAAGATGAAAACAAGACTCAATTTAATCTCTACCTTTTGTTATAAATTGTCTATTTCTTTTAAGGATATATACATACATACATACATACATATATATATATATAGACACTAGAACATAAAATAAAAAATATCAAAATATTTCTAACTAAACTTATAAATTAGTTCTTAAAATTTGTTAGTTCTTCATTAAACGATTTCTTAAATTTCCTCACCTCATTTAATTTTAAAGGAATATAGGGGACACAAGGAAAAACAAAATAGATGTAATGATTTTATTTTCCCAAAACTATCCTCATAAACATATTAAAATCGTAAAATCATCCTTTCTCATAAAAAAAATTAATACCCCTACAATAGCATCATTCTCCAGTTTTTCTACGTTAGTCTACATACTACCTTAAATTAATACCATGTACCAATTCCTGAAGCTTGCATACTACAAGAACTTGTTCGCCGGAGTAACAATATATTCCAGGCACCGCATTTTAAGCAATATTGTGCAGCCATAATTCTCACTGGAGATCAATTCATTTATGTATCTTAACCACATGAATGGAAAACATTTTAAAGATCCTAATTGAAGAGGATGAGCCAGGAGAGGAAAAGGGGGTGATCTTTGAAGTTTTGACTAATCAAAAGATGCTTGTACTCTTGTGTTTTTATGTTTTTTAGAATTGAAGAGGATGAGCCAGGAGAGGAAAATTTTAAGCAACTTTTTGAAGTTTTGACTAATCAAAAGATTCTTGTACTCTTGTGTTTTTATGTTTTATATACCTGACCTTGAAAACTACTGAAATAATGTTTTAGATAAATATTAGAAAATTTCTTGAAATTGACCGGCAAGATCTTATTCGAGTTTAATTACATCAACCAAATTATATGCTGAATTGCTAGTTCATGAGGGTGGTTTGGAATTAAATCTGGCCTAGTTCAAACCCTGAGTTACTGGATCAACTCGTAAAAGCCACCGGGTTTAATACCTACATATTCTAGAATCAGAACCAAAACAATGGACTGATCTTACGTACATTCTCTATAAGATCAGGAGTTGAGAAACGGAGAAGGATCACACACAAGCATTGTTTGGAAGAAAAGGGAACTGCTGGAGATTTTTATAAATATAGATTATTATTATTATGAATAATACTGCTAATTTAACCGGAAAGGTATTCAGGTTGTAGGGTATTCCGGTGGCAACTACCGGAATAGACACAGATCATCCACGTTATTTTCCCAGCTGATTGATATTCTAGCGACGACCTAATTACTAGTAGTTTTACGACGCAGCTCAACATGCAGACATACATCTGTGACACTCGGCATCATTATACAACATCAAGGGCACTTCGGTTTGCCCTTGGAGTTCTTCATGTCCCTGTAGCAAGGGCACTCGTGCTTGTTCCCATAAGTCCCAGATGGCACGCACTTGCACTTTTCACAGCAAATTCCACAGTACTTCAAGCACCGGTCTTTAATTCCTGCTTTGGAGCACCTCACTGAGCACTTTGAGTCACAGAATCCTATTTTGTAAGGCCATACACCATAAATTAACAGCTAGTTTTACTAAATATGTATTAGAAACAAAACAAAGAAGCAAAAAGACAAATCCAACTCATATAATTATACCCGAGGCAGCCACTGTGACCTCAAACAAAGAGGAACTGAAAACAAGGCACAGAAGAAAAATAGCTGCAAAAACAGGCTTCATTTCTGTTGTATGATCTGAAAGTATGTATGGGAATTCTCTCTATATAGCAGAAAATTTAACAAAGACCTGTATACGAGATTTTCCCAGGGAGGAGTTGATATGAAAGAGCTTGGGTATAATACAGGGTATTTATAGGGCCAAATAAGGGTAGGTGAGAGGTCAGGAAAGTGCTTGATTCTATAGAATTTTTTTTTAAGAAAACAAATTACAGACTGTCATGGGGTTTTGGTGAAGGAAGCATCCAGGGTGGATTAATGCTTTCCAGTTTCCAGAATCTTTAAAGCAATGGGCAGATCACCATGATGACGACCAATCTTATTACATGCAACAATGACTGTAATTTAAAGGGTTCTTCCTTGTTTTCCCAGTAACTGCTTTGCTTAAGTGGCATCCATCCATTTGTGTTTCTTACTTGCTGACTACTGACACTCCTTATTTCGGGCTTGCTTATTTCCAAGATATTACGTGTAGCCTGTATCGAGTGATTGTCATTTCTGACTTGGAGTTTGATCCAAGGATAAAAGATCGGTTCATTAATTGAGTTTAGTTTCTATTATTTTTTTAAATAATATGACTTGAGTTTGAAAGAGTTTAATTTTTTCTAATTTAAATTAATATTTTTATGATAAAAGCTTGGGTTATGAATTCGTGTTAATATTAAAAATAAAAAAATATTATTTTAATATATTTTTAAATAATTTTTTTAAAAAATTAACTATACTTATGCTTCCATACATGGATGAATTTTCAGTAGTTTTTGTTTTTTTAACATGTTTTATTTAAGAAAAATTAATTGATGTTATTTTTAGTATTTTTTAATAATTTTAATATATCAATATTAAAAAATAAAAAAATATAATATATTTTTAAATAAAAAATATTATTTAAAAATATCATTTCTGTAATATTAAACATACCCTATATTGTTGTGTTAAAATGTTATTCTTTATATTAACTTATCAATTTTTTTGTCAAATTGATGTTAATTTTTATTAGTTTAATCTAGTCATGAGTTAATAAAATCTTATTAAATCAATATTTTTTTATTTAAATTAAAACCAGACACAAGTGTGGTGTCAGAATTCAATTCACAGGTTTTTCAAATCATTCTATTAATTAAATCAGACTACTTGGATCTCACCAAATAATGGCTGTTCGTGAAGCTTTCGCTTTATCTGCTGCTTCTCCTGTATATTTAATCCTTTCTCTTTAACAGAAATCAAGGCAAATGATGGCT